GGAAACATAAAAAACCAGAAAAAGAAAACACCAAAAATCACCAACCTTTTCACCTTGTTCAGCTCCATAACCACTGTAACCATCTATTGTTGACAGTGCATATGATCTCTGCCAATAGGAACCAATGGTGATAAGATCGGAATAAATAATGTAAATACTATAAAGTTAAGAGCAACTCTATCATATGTTCCTCTTTATTTAAGTACTTAGGCATATTAAATTACACAAGGAGTAGTTGGTCAGTTATTAAAACATGGACAGCTTGGTATAACCAAACATGAAACAGTAGAGCAACAGTGTCAAAATTCAAGCGGTTTATTTCAGAAAGAGATAGAAACTAAGACAAATTATATTCAAAGAAACTCCCATTAATATAAATTATTATGCAAAACAGATAGATTCACAATTCACAAAGCAATTACCTGTGCCATGGCAGAAGTGATAACTTCTGGAATTGGCTCAGTTGTGTCACCAATTCCGAGGCTGATCACTTGCGCATCAGGATATTTCGACATGTGAGCAGATCTTCGTCTCGCAATCTAAAAGTTGTATTTAAAAGTATACTTAGGGAAAATTAACATCTTTATCCAAAAGCAAAGTAACAAACCTTGGCAGCTTTTAAAATTACAACAGAAAAATAACTTCACTAGTTCACTTCGCAACAACTTGCGACCAAGTAAATACAGTACAAAACAAATACTAAACAAGGTGCAAGCTCTAGAGGGAACCAGATGAACAAAATGGACACACTATTTTAATATTATCCAATACACTACAACTTTAGAAGATTGCAATTGCTCGACTAGTGTAGAAACTCATTACGAGTTGCAACGCAGTTTTTATTCATAATGTAACATCATTTCAGACACCTCCAGCAGCAACTGATAACAGAAAGCATTCAAATAACAACACATTACACTAAAGATTGAAACTTGGAAAAACAATCATTCTTCCTAGCCGCTACAGAAACAAAATATCGGCAGAAAAAAAAAAGCAGGCCTAATTACATTACACCAGTGAGAGCAGGTAAATATAAGAGAATATCACAAAGTCCAGTAAACAGACCTCTGGAAAGAGGTAGCCTGCTTGAAGTTTAGCCATGTTTTCATTGCGCGACACCTTCGTCGTGTAGGCTTTAACATAAGGCGCATCAATTAGTCGTCAAATTTATAGGCAAACCAAACTCCTTGTAACTAAGCTCAGTCATAGTAATTACACAAATAAAACATCAATCATTAAAGCCCACGAGCAATAAGAATCACATAAACAACTCCTACAAAAGGGGAGTCACATAAAAATGGAGCTCGCACTAAGCTCATCCACGCTGACAATAAGATTGTAAAGGTTAAAAAA